TGATGTGTCAGCAGCGAATTGTGCTTTTTGGGAGAAGCATAAACCATTACAGGTATAACTGGATTACCAGGGCTGAAGGCGCTCCTCCCGGTGCAGATTCCAGATAGAACAAAAGAACGGGAAGACTGCACTGGGAGGCAGGCTGGGGTAAAGCGGCGGGGGGATGCGTCACCTTGTGTGAGCTGGCTTGTTTCCCCTCCCCGGTGCAGAGAGCGAGTCCGCTTCTGTTCCAAACAGTGAAGAAACTGAACTAGACGCAGGACGCTATGGGAAAGCAGCTACCCTCACTTCTCCAAAAAATATTTCCAACACTTGCCTCTAGCTCCTGTGAGACACGAGTTTTAGGCTTCATATGAAGGAGATTTAATATCAAACCTGCAACATCTGCATTTGGGAACTAAAGAGGCAAACAAAGTTCCAGGTGTATCTCTGGCTCTGTTTCACCCCTACAGGATAAGACACAGAAACGAATTTGGGCGAGTTTGAGTAGAGTGAGATTCCGGCAGCGCCTGACAAAGGATGAAAAACAGGGTTTCCCGTCCTCCTGCGAAGCCCTCCCGTAATCTCACTCCTTCGAGGAGTCGCTGAAGGAGCCCATGGCACTGTCTAAGCGGAATTCCAAAACGCTGGGCCCTAGCTAAAACGGAAGCCACGGAGGAAGGCGCATCCTCCTGCCTGGCAAACTGCGAGCCGCTATGAGCATAGCGAAAGGGAAACGCGGTCAGGTCCATCCGCCCTGTTACTGGCAGACTGGGCGATTAAAGCTAAAGCTCCGTCTCAAGAAGGCATTTTAAAAAAATTAAATCAGATCTGACAATGTTTGTACCGCAGTGTAAATGCCTACGCCTTGGCGTGCCAGTCACCTCTAAGCGATCTGACAAACTCCAGCTCTCGTAAAACGTGCAGAGTTCAGATCATATTAATTCCCCCAAAATGTTTTGATTCAAAGTAGTTTGTATTTTGTGTAGCCACGGGCAATCGGGAAAGCGGTCCTGCCTGCCCGTGGCCGGTCCGCTCCCTCTCCGCGTGGCCCAGAGGCTACGGTGGTATTTAAGCTTCTGAAATTAGCCTGGGGCTGCAAGGCAGAATGATCACAAAGCGAAACAAGGGCGCTTCCCCTTTTCACTTTTTTTTAATCCCCCCCCTTTTTTTTTTTAGTTTGCCATCCCGATTTCACAAAAGAGATCAGGGCCAAAATGTCACTTTCCACCCACATATGGAAAGGCTAGATATTCTCGTTTTATCTCCATCCTACTCTGGAGGCCCCCTACCCATTTGAACCCCTACTCTACGATTCCAATCTGGATCCATTCATTATTAGCTTCATCATCATCGTCGTCGTCATCATCAACACTGTTCACATATTATTAAATACTCAGAGCGAGAAATGAAAGGGACAGGCGTCTGACAAAGGGGAGGGGGCCATGAGGGAGCCTCAGAAGATTCACCGGGAAAAGAAGAGTGGGTTTTCCTTTCTTTCTTTCTTTCTTTCCTTTTTTTTTTTTTTAAAATTTAAAAAAACATCGTCGTCGTCATCATCAACACTGTTCACATATTATTAAATACTCAGAGCGAGAAATGAAAGGGACAGGCGTCTGACAAAGGGGAGGGGGCCATGAGGGAGCCTCAGAAGATTCACCGGGAAAAGAAGAGTGGGTTTTCCTTTCTTTCTTTCTTTCTTTCCTTTTTTTTTTTTTAATGATTAAAAACACAGACGACTCCTGTAAATAGAAGTCTCATTTCTTCAAGAGATGCCTTTTGAAACCCAGTATCTGAATATTCAACGAAGGCAAAGCTCCACTCTGTACGTACAACATTAATATGATCTCTGCAGAATTTGCTACTCAGAAATATTAACATATCAAAGCCAATGCCTGAGGCGAAAGAAGCTATCGATACTCGAGCACAGGGTAAAGTAAAGATTATTGGTTCTGATAGTTGGAGTGGCGGAGCTGCGGGCAAAATCGCGCACACCATTAACCGAGAGTGAGCGCGCGGGGAGCTGCACTCCGAGGCGGTGGCAAATATTTTATCTAGGTGGTAATTACCTCAGCACAGCCCCCTCTTCCACACAGTCTTTGGCTATCAGGCCTTCATTACAGGCAAAAGCAAAGTAATTACCACTTAACAAAGTGAATCCGGAAAATCCTATTTTGGTCTTTACAAGTAGAAGTGGCTAGATTTAAAGAATAATGGGGACCCCTCGATTCCTCCACATCACTGCAAATCTGGACAGCCTCTCTTTAATGAATGCATGTAGGGTACACTGGCATGGATCTTTCTTCAAGAAGAACAGTTAGGGCTCTTTGGAGGTGAAATCTATTTTTTTTTTCTTCCTACAGTAAATTCTGGGAATCATCAGAAATGTGAATTTATCCAGGAACTGAGCGGAAGAGAGACAATTCAGAAAAGTTGTGCTTTCAAGAAATTGTGTTTCATGTGGTGGGTCATCTGTGAAGACTAGAGTGGAAAAGAAATAGACATTCTCATTTAAAGTGTCCAAAAACATTGGGTTATATGAGAGATGGTAGTATGACAGCACCCGAGTTAATGTTCTAATTTTTGATGAACACAGGTAGCTGGGCAACGGGTATTAGGAATTAGAAGTCTTGTGCAGTATTATGACAATATATATAGAGAGAGATTTCTTAGCATTTCTTCAAAAAGGGGGAGTCCTGAGATGAGAGGTGGAGCGAGTTCTAGCAGAATATACACCCACCCGCCTTTAGTAAGGCTTCTTTGCTGTCTATTTGTAAATTGTCACATGGATCGTTGCAGAGGTAAACAGATATACACCCTCCTCTCTGGGATGCAACCAGGTTAATTGGCCTTTCTTTAAACACATGGAAATAAAATAAACTCAACAGTTAAACTCTGAATTCCTTCAAAGTGGAGGAATTAGGGTTTAGTCAAACAATGCAGATGTAAACTCCAATTTGCATCTCCTTTTCTCTTTAAAACTACCTGATTCCTACAACATCAATATTTGGGTTAAAACAGATTCAGTGACCAATTTTAGGTGAAACGAATAGGTATGGAATTCTACAAGAACAATGAAAACACCAACGAAGGAAGGAACGTTTCTATGCCTCTAAAAACATAATTCCACAGTTTGCACTTGAAGATACTTAAGAGTCCAGGCCTTCTTGGGAGAATGGTGAGGAATAAAGAAGTGTCCCTTAAGCCTCTCCTCGGAATTTACCTGATTCCACAGTCGCCTCCTCTCCCGCTCCCACCCTCGGCCCAATAATAACCACTCTCTGTTAACTATTATACAATCGGATGTAATTTCCAAGCTTTTGAAAAGATGAGCTTGGAGCAAGCGCGGAAATGAATGCAGAAACCGCAGTAGCGCGAGCGGTGCTCTGGGAGGAGCGGGCTCCAGTCGCTAATTAGTGGCGCTGTCCTTCAGCACCACGGACATCTCAGTGCGCCTGAAGTGCTCGGCCTCACCTTCAGTTTTACCAACCCCAACAAAGCCAGATAAGCACGTCTCACCTGGCGCCCTTTACACTGTGCCTTTTTTCTTTTTTCTTTTTAACTCCCCCTGAAACAATATGTTTATTTCATTGGCGTTTTCACCAGTCTTCGTCCTATTTTATGTCGTCTCAATATCGCTTTGTGCTGTCCTGGATGGCAGGTAACTACTGCTCATTTAAAGATTTGTGAAGCAATATCAATAGTTTCTAAAATGATTTTTAAATCTCCATAGGATGAAATATCAGAGTTGAATACCTATTTAGAATTTATTAAATACTCCAAGTATCCACTACAACAGCGAAGATCCAAAAAGATAGCACCCTTTAGTTTTTTTCTCCCATAATTTAAATCAAGTTTCACATTGGACTTTAGGTTGCAAAATCTGCATTTTAAATATGAAATAGAGAATTTTCTGCTTCATACCAGTTTCTTTCTCTTTCCAGAAAAGCAAATTTTTCAAGAAGCTTTAAAATGGATGGAGAGACCGAAGGACTTTTATTTGCTACCATCATAAGTAACTCTGGTTTTAGTTGTTTAGTTACTAAAGACAACTGTGGCCCTGGAGCAGGAATTAGTGTTGGTGAATAGGCCATATCTTATTAATTCGTATGAAGTTGGAATAACAGCTGGTCCCTCTTGCCTTGTGTGCTCCTCGGGTTACTCAGCTTGCTAGGAAAATAAACTTCAGAGGCTCTGGGTACAGTTAAGTGGGAAAGCCAGCAAAATCTGCACTGCCTTGAGGCCCTGAGAATGTCATAGTTCAAAACCTTTTGTCAAAATGGAACATCTGATACACAGCCCCCTTTAGTGCCTGAGCTGAAAGCAACAGCTCTCTCCTCTCTTCTTGCATTCCCCCCACTTTCCAATTCCATGGGTAACTCTGGATTCAGATGTTTTCCTCAACAGATGGGAACAAGAAAGCTTTATCCGGTACAGTTAACACCACCTCCTCCTCCCACCCTCCTTTAAAGAAAGAAATGTCCTGGACACTTACAAAATAAGGGCAGTTACAATATTGGTGTTTCATTAGCCTCCACTAAAGCCTCAATGATCTAGCCTTTCACAAAATCCCTCAAAGCCTCAAGCTAACACCATCACCTCCAATGCCCAGGCTGTGGCTGGCACATTTAGGGCTAAAAGAGACCAGAAATTCTGCTCGAGGATGTGGTATTGGTGTTGAAGGAAGAGGGTGTGAGAATTCTTTTCCTTTCTTTTTTTCTTCTTATTTTAAATTTTTTTTTACTATTATTTTTTGCCTGTACTTTGATTCTGTCACTTCTTTGAGAAGCAGCAAATATCTCCTGTCACAGGACTTTTGGGTACCACCTGCATTAAAGCCTCAAAGGAAAAAAGGATGCTTCTAAATTTAGGTGTGCCTGTAAGGGACTAGAATACTGAGTAAGAGTGATTGTTTTCTTAATCACCAGACAAGGAATCTGATGTTTAAAAGAACCACCAGATCTTCAAAGCAAAGTAAATGATAAGAGAATGCTGTTTAAGGTTAACATAGTGTTACTTACCTCTTCTTATTACTCCACCTTGGCCATTGAGAACAAGCCCACACTGAGCTTCCACCGAGCCCTTAACAAAATAAAAAGAGATGATAATATTACTGAAATAAATATTGATAGGTATGGTCACGTGGGCAAAGTCTTTTAGACTGGCCATTCCTGAACCCCCATCTCAGTAGGCGTTTAAAAGCAACCACTGGACTGGAGCAAGCTTGCAAACAAATACAAGTTTAAGAAAAAATAGTGAGAAAAACCACAATCTAAAAGTTGTATAAATCTTAAGGTATGCATTTTACATCACCATACAATATTACACTTCAAAGTGCCAGAGAGCCTTTCATCTTGGCATAAGAGAATGAGAAGCCCTTTGAGTCCCCATCAAGGCACACTGCACATAAATGGACAGTGCATACTCAGCATTTTCTTAGTGAAGCAGATTTTACCTAGAGTGTCAAATATGAGACTGTGGGTTTTTGGGGGCAGAGGAGCTACTTCGTATGCAGGAGTCAAGATATCTTACTGGAGTTCTGTCTTATCCCAAATGTAGGTACATCCTAAAATGCTACCCCAAATGGACCTGTTGTAGGAGATACCTGCAGGTTCACTCACTGAGGATCTTCAGGCTCCTAGTGGATGGAGGAATCATTTGAGCTGGAAAGGTGGAATGGGTTTGCTAATTTTGGATTAAGAAAAATAAAAATTTCTCTCTGTGTCTGTCTTTTTTATTTCTGAATCAAAATGTGTTAAAAGCTCATTTTCCTTTACAAACAAACGAGGTATTGGACATGAAAGAGGCCTTGAAGGGTGTTAACCTACCCAACAGCCCGTGAAGAGTTAAGTAAATGCGGAGAGAGTCGGTGCATAATAAAAACCCACTTTACAAAACAACCTTTACAGCCCTGGCTCCCTTTCGCCTCCCCATTTTCACCATATTGAGGCAGGCCTGTAAGACCCCCCTTTTCAACCTACTCACAAGCTCTTTCTTATTTTAAATGTTCTGCCTTAAAGTGATTATCAAATCAATATGAAAAAAAAAAACTTGGAGACTGAGCATAAATTAAAGCGGTGATGGGAAAAGGTGTGACAGTTTCCTTTGTTGGCCATAGCAAATCTTTTTAGGGGACTCAAAGATGGAACTGAAGCCACAAGACTGTTTGCATCTGTTAGGCAGACTTAGACCGCCCTCCAAACCATTGGACTTTCACTTAAAATTCTGTGCAGGGAAAAGTATATTTACATTTGTTGCATTTGAAATGAGGCATATGCTGATGAATGTTTTAAAAAGGAAGAAATAAAAGGAGAGAGACGGGTTTCTCCCACACGCTCCCTCCCCATTTCTCATTTCAAAAGTAGCTATGACTCTTTTTCATTCTGCCAACTAAAAAGAGGAAAGGCGGAAGAAAATAAATTTCCAGATTTACAAACTTGCTTTATAAAATTCATGTACGTGTCTTTGTGTGTGTGCATATAGTATGATATATACATATCTACATATATATGTATGTCTCTCTATCTCTCTCTAAAATACATCATACTCAATTTCCTTTAGTATCTTGGACTGTTTTCCTCAGTGTGAGTAAAATTTCTTCAGTATGAGTAATAAAGGGGAAAAGAGAAAGTAAGAATATAAAACAGAGATGGACTGATGGAAAGGTTTCAAAAATATTTGAAATATAGCAGGTAGAGAGCCTTGAAGCTTTTCAAGTGAGTGAGCCACTTTCTCTCCCACTCTCTGGCTCACTGTTAAGATGTTTATTTTCTTAGAAGAAACGAATTTTGGTCTGTTCACTTAACAAACTTTCCCTCCATAAGTAAAACATGTTGTTTGGTCGGATGACATTGCCTAAATGACCAGTTGAATGGCACTAAGTCGAAAATTGGATAAACTACGGTGTCTTTTTGCCTGGGATTCCCTCTTTGTCTGGTGCTTGCAAATGTTCTAATCCCCTCTTTTGAAAAATGCCCGGCTTTGTGCCTCGCACAGAAAAAAAATTTGTACAGATACAAAAAAATCAGCAGCAGGCGCGGCTATTAAAAGGAGTAAATAGGTTTTAGTTGAGCTAAGCATTGAATGGCAGATTTTTTTCCCCCTGAGACATAAGGGGATCCTTGTGAAAAATGTAAAAATGCCCTGAGCGTATAAAATTATTTTGTGAATATAAATGTAGAAAGTCAAGATTTATGGAGCCAAATCTTTCTTCTCATGCACCAATCTTGAGGATATGGCTCTTTGTTGGAATTGTAAGGGCTTTCACTTTAATTTTAAAATAATCCCTTGCTCAGAGATAAATGAGGGGAAAAGATTTTCTGTGCGCAACAAGGGGTCACTTACGTCTCCAACGTGTGCTCTCGAAATATCGCCCCATTCATTGTGGAGAGTGGAGAATGTGGCCAGCTTTGTGAAAAATGGAAAAGCAGATCCTCGCAGGTACAGATGCACTTTCGACTAAAGAAGCTACTAATTTGGGTCTTCTGGATTCCTTTTCTGGACATTTCTGGGCTTGTTTGAATTATGCCTGTCATAACTGTATTACATGATTTAAAATTCAATTGTTGACCAAAAGTGTGCGAAACCATGTTAAGAAAGTAGGAGCGATGGCTCTCTCCTTATCTGAATGCCTTCCTTCCTTTTCCTTCTTTCTTTCTCTTTTTTCTTTCTTCCTTCCCTCCCTTTTTCCTTCCTTCCTCTCTTCCTCCCTTCCTTCCTTTTATCTTTCATTTCTTCTTTCTCACTCTTTTCTCTTGCCTTTCCCCCCCCCTCATCTCAGTTTGTATAGCGTTGCATCTTCTGTAAAATGTAATGGCCTCAAGAGAAAAAAATAATTGAGCTGCGAACCATCCATCTGGGCTGCGGATTTGAGTGCACATCAGATAGTGCCAATGAGATCCAACCCTACAGCCCAGTGCAGAGCATTGCGCAGTTTCTTTCACAGGGTGATTTTTGAGGCATTCATTTGTCATTCTTTACTTGCCTCCGCAATGTAGTATAATTGGTGAAACTTTTGCTCAAGCTCGGAGTTCCAATGATCCCCTGAGAACAAACCCGCCTCATCCATAAACTCAATCTGGGACAACCGTCTGGGATGTGTGAGTAGACCGTGTAAAGTGCAGGGGCTGAGGTTGCGATTGGTCATCAACTTATCAGGTCTTAACTCTGAGTCCATTTGTCTGGACCCCCAGCCTCCTTGATCTCCTCCACCCCATCCCCTCAGGCTGAGAAGTGTGGATTCACTAAAGACTTCAGAGAAGACGCAGCGAAGGCTGGGGACTCCCACAGTTAGCAGAAAGCCGGTGCGTCCAGGTGAAAATGCCTGGATCCAATGAGAGGGACAGAATGGGCACACTCCTCCTCTAATTGTTTTGATAACTTTCCATAAGTGGTGTGTGTGTGTGTGTGTGTGTGTGTGTGTGTGTATGAGAGAGAGAGAGAGAGAGAGAGAGAGAGAGAGAGAGAGAGCTTACAGTCAGAGCATTAATGGAGAGGGAGGGGGAGGGCGAGGAGGGGAGGGCGCAGACAAATTTGCTGCATGCTTATTTACCTGCAAGTCGTCTGCTCCCGCGGCGGCCAGCCCCAGGCTGGGCCCTGGCAGGAGTCTTTGATCTGGGTGCATTCCATACTGAGAGCCATGGCTCATGAGGGACAGGTCGTGGCGGCGGTAGGCACCGAGGCAGCCCAGCTCCCGCCTCTGTTCGTCCAGGCAGGACGACTTGAGCGCCCGCGCATTGTGCAGGTTAATAAAGTCGGTGGGCTCCCCGTGGTGGATCTGCTGGTAGTACTGTTGCGAGTGGTGGAGCGAGTTCAGAGAGTAGGCGTCGGGGGTGACGGCCGGGTGGCTGTGCTGAAACTCGTAATGGAAAGACTGATGGTGGAGCGGGGTGTACTGGTGGTTAGTGGAGAAGTAGGGGGACGCAAACTCGGTGCCGGTGGTGGAGTAAGTTAAAGGAGAGGAGGAGGAATAGGCGACAGTGGAATTGGCTACGGACTCCAGACAGCCAAGCTGCATCAAACGGTAGCTGTTTGATCCGTCGTGACGTATCTGGAAGGAAGAGGGGGAAAAGGGAGAGCAGAAAAACTTGAGGTTTGTCATTTTGCAACCAAGGCGCCGCTCTCCCAGAGCCAGGAGCTTTCTCTGGCTCTCCAAGGAGAGCGAGCACGCAGGGCTTGGGCCGAGCGGCAGCCGGGGCTCAGCGCCTTTGCCAGAGAGCCTGAGCGAACAGGCGAACTGGGGGTGGGCGGCCTCGTCCTCACAGTCGAGAGAGAGGGAAAAAAATCCCCCACCCTATATAGGTGCGGGTGACACCACACACGCACACACGCGCGCGCACACACACACTCTCACACACACACTCACAGCCCCTGCCCAACTTGTGCAGGGAACTGGGCGTTGGAAGCTGGGTTTGCAACTGACTCCGGGGCCGCGGGGAGTACAAGCGGAGTCCACACGCGGAGCGCGCTGGCCCGCGCCTCGCCACTCCAAACAGATCCCAACATTGAGATTCCGCGCCGGTCCTGGCCGACCTGTTCCGCCCGAGCTGCTCAAAATCATTGTCCACATATTTTTAAAAAATCCAGTTTGTGCAAATCGTTCAACTTCATCACTCTGGGGGAGGGAATCCGACCCCCCTTTTCTGTTTCTTTTTCCTTGAATAAGCCCATTCCAAAAGGGGTGCGTTGTTCTCCACCCCCTTGTCCACCTACCGCCCCCCATCAGCCCCTTTTCTCTGCCGTTTGGAGAATCTTTTCCCGTCTCTGTCTCTTTCTCCTCACCCCCCTTCTTTATTATTAGGATTATGTTTTCCCCCTCATTACGGCAAATGTTTCCTAACGTGGCAGAGTTGCCCTTCCTGGCGACAGATGTCATAACGAACTTTCTCCCCTTTCCTTCCTTAACTTCCCCCGAAAGCCAGATTATAATTAAACGCAACGGTCCAATATAGATTAGAGACAGGGGAAGCTGCCACCGCCGCCGCCACCAGCGCCCCCGCC